GCGATGAACCGAGCGAGAACTAATGGAACGAAGACAGTAACTGGCGCGCGTAAATGGCTTATGCGATCTCGTCTCTCCCTCTCCGACAAAACGCGATGTAAAATACATTGACTTGGTTCTCCTCGACAAAGCAGGACCTTGTTTGTTCCCAACCCTCTAAACTCCTCTGTATTTACAGTCGTACCCATTCGATCCGTCCAAGCAAACGCCAAAGGAAGCGAATGAGGTGTGCTCCACCTCCTCCTCCTCTACACAGACGTGCGAACCGACGAGTCCATCCCAGTGATACTACTGCAGCGGTAGCGCGTCGAGCGAAAAGCAGCTGCGTTTTCTTAGCCTTCGTCTTGCTGTTCGATAATGATGCTCGTCTCCATCGTGTCCATCGAGCCAAACTTGTATGGCTTTCCCGTCTGGTCTTGGTGCTCCGCTTCGTACTCCCCGACAAAGGCGTCCTACAAGAAACGATAGGAGCGGTGATTACAACTTGCAATTACGTACAAGCGTCGAGGCGACGACGAGGTTGAGGAGAATCGTGACGCCAATGAGGTGAAAGGTCACAAAGTACCAGCGCGCGTACTTAGACGTGACGCACACAAAGCCATCCGCGAGGACGAACCAGTTGTTGACGATGAGGAGCTCGAATAAGAGCACCATGCCGCTGGCCATGTCGTTAAAGTTGTTGGCCATGTACCCGTCCTGCGTGTACAAGCTCGTGGGGCACTCGACGCCCATGCGGCCGGGCGAGATTTTCCCGCCAAAAGCTGCTGGCCGAGCGTCGCAAAGAAATACAAGGCGCAAAACATGATCACGAGGAGGTTCTTGCCGAACGGAAGGAGGCGGAACCACGTCATGCAAAAGACGCGGTACCTACGAATCCATATCGGACCATACCATTGTCCATACCGAAGCCATACCGCTCGACGTTGATGATGAGGCGGAAGAGTCGCAGGCAGCGGGCGACGAGGAGGATCTTGACCATGACACGCGACGCCGGGTCGTACGGCAGGTACGCGTACACATCGACGGCGACGACGGCCACCGTAATGAGGCAGTCGAACCGGTTCTTCATCGAGCTCCAGTAGACAGCGCGGCCGTCGACGACGATTTTGAGAAGCATCTCGAGCAGGTACACGAACGAGAAGATCGACTCGATGCGCTCCCAGACGGTAAACTCGGACGCGAGCGGCATCGGCTCACCGTTGAGGACGGGGAGGGACTCGAAGACGATGAGGAGCGCGTTGACGACAAGAACGACGTCGATCGCGAGTTCAAAGCGCGGGTGGCGCACAAACATGCAGAGCGAGTGAAAGCCGTCGCTGTGAAAGAGATGCGGGAACCAGCGCTGGACCTCGGAGGGCGGGAGGCGCTTCTTGGAGAGCGCGGAGCGGAGCACGACGCAGATGTTGGCAAACTCTTGCCACTGCAGCTTCTCGTCGCCGTCCGAGTCGAGCTCGTCAAAGACGAGCTGCATGCGGCTCTTCTTGATGTACCCAATGTTCTTGTAGTGGTTCATCTTGTGGAAGAGGCGGAGGCACACGTCGCGCGGCACGGCGAGCTTGGGGGAGGGCGGGCCGAGGTACCATTCGTCGTGTCGGTGGTCCCAGAGCTCCTTGGTCGAGTACGATCGAAAAAGCGACGGCCGGCGCGTCAACATGGACGAGACGTTGCAGAGGATGCGGAACGCGATCTGCAGCTTTTGCTCGCGCGTGTGGTCGCGCTTCTTCTTGAAGGCTTCGAGGTTGACGGAGAAGTTGTTGTAGATGACGGCCAGCACGACGTTCATGAGGAAGAAGAGCCCAAAGCAAAGGAAGAACGCGAAGAAGATGACGACGACGCGGTGCTTGTTGTACGCGGGCATCATAATGTCCGGAAAGTTCGCGGTCGTGAGCAGAATGAGCATGTTCCAGCACGCTTCGTAGATATTGGGCATTTGCGCGTCGCCTACTCCGCAGGAACCTGAATCCTGCATGTACATTGGCAGTCGAAACACGACCTTCTTCCGTGTTGTCAAAGAGCATCGTGGCGACCCAGGCGAAGAAGACGACGAAGACGATGACGAGGCTAATGATGTTGTGCACCTCGGCGAGCACTTGCGCGATCTTGCGCGCGGTTCGTCGAATGTTCCGGTTCTTGACGGCGAAGATCATGACGCGCAGGTACACCTGCGCATACGGCGTCCACACTTGGTGCGGAAAGGCCGCGCTCAGCGCTAGCGTCGTCATCGCCAGCAGCACGAGCGCCAAGACCGCGACGCTACAATCGACCATGATGCGACATAGACGTCGATGCAGAAGGTCGCACCTGTCCTTGCGGTTCGTAAAGTTCTCTTGGAGGTACAAGTACCGGATCACCGAGTTGAGGAGGAAGAACGAGAGGCAGACGAGCTCAATGCAATGGCTCTCGGCGTGCGTGACGAGCGCGATCTCAAATGTCATGGGCGTGAACGGGTCGGACGGATCGCCGCACGGGTACGGCGGAGGCCCATGGCACCAGCGCGGCGTCTCGATGAACGAGAGACTCAAGAGCACGACGATGGCCGCGCCGCGGAGGTAGTGCAACTCGGCGTGCAGCGTGTGCATGTACCGCGCGAACGGCGTGCGCACCGGGTGTGGCCGCGAGATACCGCTGAAGGCGTCCTCAATGAACCAGCACGCGGTCGTGAGGAGCTCGTCGTCCTTGTCGCGTGCGACGAGCGGCGCCGACTCGGTCGCCTCGGGCAGCTGCATCGCTCGCGCCTACTATCAATAGGACTCGTATCGCGCAATGCCTCTCAGAGCTTATCCGCCGGATATGCGAAAAACATTATCCGACGCACCTGGGTCCACACCGCTCCTGCGACGCTGCGCGCCGGAGCGACGAGCAACAGTGGCCAGTGCAAGCTGCCAGCACAGTTGCCGTCGGCGCCGACCAAAGATGCTCGTCGAGCTGCTCCGATACCATGGGCTGTCGTCGTGCGCCGAGACTCGGAGCCATGGCGCCTGCATACGAGGTCACGCCTTGGTACCTCAGAGGGATCTATGCCGACGAACAACGAACCACCCACGCCCACGGACGGACGCGACTCGCTGAAGCGCAGATCTCGGTCTGCGCATGTAAGACTAGCTGCGTCGGAGTCTCGGTTGCAGTCTTATCGGCAGCTCTCTACCTACGGTACGCAAATGGCATCTAGATTCTTCGATCGACCGCGGTCTTCGTCGCAGGAGGTGGAGGGGACGGCTGGATCAAGCACGCGCCGGCCACAGCCGCGTCCTGGCCATGTTCGTGTTTGTACTCGTCCATGAAGGAATCCTACACAACGATGACGCATGCCGCGTCATGAGCAATGTTCTACCAGGATGGACGCGACAACGAGGTTGAGGAGGAGCGTGACGCCGGTGACGTAGTACGCGATGAAGTACCAGCGTGCGTACTTGGACGAGACGGCGGCGTGGCCATCCGCGAGGACGAACCAGTTGTTGACGAGGAGGAGCTCAAACAGCAGGACGATCGCGCTTGGCATGTCGTTGAAGTTGTTGGCCATGTAGTCGGCCTGCGTGTACGCGCTCTCGGGGAACTCGCGCCGCATGCGACCAGGCGAGATGCGCCCGCCAAAGAGCTGGTTGCCCAAGAGCGCGTAGACGTACATGGCACAGAACGTGAGGAGGAGCAAGTGCTGGCCAAAGTGCAGCAAGCGCAGCCACGTGGTGCAAATGACCCGGTACCTACGCCCATGAATCGACGCCGGCAAGGCGTATTCGTACCCTTTGATGTTGATGATGAGGCGAAAGAGCCGCAAGCAGCGCGCGATGAGAAGGATCTTGACGACCTGGAGCGACGTGCCAGGGAGGTACGCGTACGCATCTGCGGCGACGACCGCGAGCGTGATGACGCAGTCGAACCGGTTCTTGATCGAGATCCAGTAGCCGCGCAGGCCGTAGACAAGCATCTTGGCCAGCATTTCGACGAGGTAAATGAGTGTAAAGCCGAGTTCAAGGGCGTCCCAGATGGTCCAGGCGCTCGTGTCAAGAAGCACTTTTGCCTCGGCGTCGTTGAGGATCGAGAACGACTCGACAAACACGACGATGGCATTGGCGACGAGAACGACGTCAATGGTAACCTCGAGCGTCGGGTGGCGAACCGCCGCGCGTAGCTTCTGGAACGCCACCGAGGTGAAGAGGCGCGGGCAGTACACCTCGACTTCGGACGCCGGTTGCGGCTCCTTGATCAAGACGCGCTCAACGGCTTCGCACACATGTAGAAACTCGGCCAGGTCCAAAACATGGTCGCCGTTGGCGTCGAGCGCATCAAAGAGCGCGGTCATCTCGTCGCGTTCGAGGTGCGAGATGTTGCGAAAGCGATGCAGGCCTTGGAAGAGCCGGAGACACACGTCCATGGGCACCGTCTCTGGATGGTTGCTGAGCGATTGGAGGCACTCGAACGCGTGCGCGAGCTTCTCGGTGCGGATGCGGTCGGAGAGCGCGAGCTCGGCGTCCGAGAAGCGCGCAAAGTTGTTAAAGACGACGGCCAGCACGACGTTGAGGAGGAAGAAGAGCCCAAAGCAGAGGAAGAAGATGAAGAAGAGCACGACGCTGCGGTTCGAGTTGTACGCGGGCATCATGATGTCGGGGAAATTCGCGGTCGTGAGCAGAATCATAAAGTGCCAGCACGCTTCGTAGATGTTGGGCATTTGCGCGACGCCTTCGGGCGTGCCTTGGAAGAGCACGACGGCCATCCACGCAAAGAGAGGATGAAGACGACGACGAGGCTCAGGATATTGCGCACTTCGGCCACGACCCGGAGGATCTTGCGCAGCGCGCGCCGGAGCTCGTGCTGCGAAAACACAAACATGACGATGCGCGCGTACTCGTGCAGACGCAGCGATGCAACAGTGTCGGCGTAGGCGGGCCACGCCAACGCGCCCATGACATCGACGAGCGAGACAACCACGAGGCCCAACTGGACCTTCCTACATCATGCGAGGATCGACACCGAGATCGAGGACGACGGCGTACCGTTCGTGGCGACCGAGAAACGCCGCGCCAAGGTACGTGTACCCAAAGAGCACGTCGGCCAGCAAGAAGAGAAGACACGCGAGCGCCACACTGCGCGACTGCGCGAGCGTGAGGAACCCGGCGTTGAACGTCATGGGCGTCTCGGGGCTGCTCGGGTCGCCGCAAGCAAAGAGCGTTGCGGGGTCGTGGTTGCACCAATGCGGCACTTCGACAAAGGCAAGCGCAATCAGAACGTAGATCGCCACGTCGCTCAGAATCGCGCAGTGGGCATGCCATTCGTAGAGCTGGTACGCGAGATGCGTCTGGAGCGGCCGTGGCCGCGTGTAGCCCAAGAGCGCGTCCTCGACGAGCCACGCCGCCGAGAAGAGGACGTCCTCGTCGCTCTCGACCCGTCGAGGCAAGAGCGGTGCCGTCTCGTCCATCGAAAAATAGATTCCAAAGATCTTTTAAATTCGAAATCGTATCTTGCACAGATGACCCATGGACGACAACTACGGATGCTACTGTCTCTTTATCTTTGCCTTGGCGCGGGGCGGTGTTGGTGAACTCACGTCCAAAATCGCCCGCTTGCCCGCTCGCCGAGACTTGGGCGCAGGGGCAGCCATTGGAGCAGCGTGGTCGAGTGCTGGTAGGGCGGACCGCTTCCGCTCCAGTTGCGGCGCTGCATGGGGCAAGGGCTGCCCTGGTACTACATGAGCGCGCCGGGATGCTGCCGGCAATACAGGCGGTAGCTGGCGGGCAAGTCGGATAGCTTGAGGCTCCGGGGCCGCCGCAGCCACAAACTGGGGCATGGCATATCGTTGTTGGGCGGCCACACCCGGCGCGGGCGGGTCGACACGCTCTTCAGCCCAAACAGCGCGTCTGGCTACTGCGGGCGGCAATAACTGGCGAGCAAGTCGATGGGACTGCGGCACCCCAAACGGGGACATTAGCGGCGCAGCCGCTGGTGATGGCCCCAGGAGCATCGGTCTTGCGTACAATGGCGCCATGTAATCTAGTTTGAATGCTTCTTCATGCGCAGACAATCCGAGTGGCGTACCCTTCGCAAGACCGGCCGCTCCAAGGCCGGCATTAGGAGCTGGAGCATCGAGATGACCGCCAGCGGGCGATGGCTTGGCCTTCTTGTGTGCCTTGGCCGGACTCTTCTTTGTCGCTGGGACCGGTGCTGCATGGGAGCGAAGTGCCATGGGCGCTGGCGGCATGGGACGCACCGCCTTGGCTTTGGCCTTGGCTTTTGGCCTGGCAGGAGCCGGCACGACGTTCGGAAAGGCGTGCGGCACTTTGGGCAATACGTCGCGCCAGTTGTTGGGAATGCCATGGGCTTGTGCCACGCGGGCCACATGGGCGAGGTCGTGCCGCGGAAGCTGTGCCACTTGGCGCTGGACACGCGCGTCGCGGTCGAGCACGCTTTGCACGACTTGCCGTTGCACGGCGGCAGCGCGTTCGGCGGCCTCGGCGGCAACCCGAGCGCGAAGCATTTGCTCGACCTCAAGGAGACGTTGTGCGATTTGCTCGCGCTCTCGGGCAACGGCAGCGCGGTCCACTGGCGCGGCGGCAGCGCGCTCCACCGGCGCGGCGGGTGGAAACAACGCGCAGTTGCAGCCAGACTACGCGGAATGGCATCGTTAAGACAGTGCATGTAAAACAAACAAACAGGATCGGACCTTTCCGTGGGGGTTGTTCGGGATCGGGACCCGTGTTTCGTAGGGGACCCCGCACGCATAGCAAAAGTGTTCGCCGCTAAATCAAGACGCGCGTGAGGTGAAGCGATGACGATGAGGAGAGGACGTACCACTTGCAACGCATAAAGTTGCAGCCCATGGAGCGCTCGACAAGCATGCTGCACTTGGGACACTGCTTCCAGCTCATCTTCTCTTTCAGCGCCATGAGCTGGGCTTGTTCGAGGTCGCCGCCGGCGTCCACCATGCGCTTGTACGCGTCGCATGTAAGACCGTCGTGCCAGCCCACTTGACAGCGGATGCATATCTTGGTCTTGCAGATCGGGCACGACGTCTGCTCCTGTCCCGCTCGGATCGCAGGCTTGAGAAACATTTGGCTGCACTCTTTATTGGGACAGTAGAGGCTTTCGTCCTCCGTGGCCTTGACCGTCACAAGCTGGCTAAACTGCTCAAAGAGCTCGGGCGAGATGACGGCCGCGACGTGGCTCGGGCGGATCTCTCGCTTGCAGTCCGTGTTGCAGCACGTGATGGGCGCCGCGCGGTCCTTGACCTTGCTCTCGATCCAGCCCGAGAGGCAGCCGACACAGTACTGGTGGTTGCAGCGGAGTCGCCAGGAGTCCTCGTCCGCGACCTGGACCTTCTTGCGGCGCTTCGTCACGCGTACGTTGATGGGCGCTCCGAGCGTGTCCATGCAGATGGGGCACGTTGCCCCGCTCTCGGGCGCGGCCGGCGGGTCCACGAGCTCCACCCCGTCCGCCATGCGTCGGGCAGGTCAGCGAAAGAACTTGATTGAATAAAAAGCGTGCCCGTGGAGAAATGCCAGGTTGCACTTGAGAATTGTATATAATTGAATACCATCCAGGACCGAATTGATGCGAGATGGGCCCGTTGGCGTCCAATTCGCGCGCCAGCAGTTCGCTAATTCGTGCGCTAATTCCCATGGCTAATTCCTACGAGCCGCCGCGTCGCAGGTGCTGAGAGCTACGAAGGCCGCACGCCTTTACCGTGGGTAAAACCACTGGACCGCAGGGTCAAACCCGACTCATCGACGTCATATTAATTGGCGTCGTCGCCGCCGTCGTCTACATAGTCCTCGTCGTTCTCGTCGTCGTCGTCGTCGCCCATGCCGTCGGCGTCATCGGCGTCTGTCGTCGTGTCTTCCTTGGCGGCACCACTCGCCCAGAGCTGACGGCCCGTGAGCCGCTTCTCGGTCGACACACCGACCTTGCCCGTGACCTTGATCATCATTTCTTCATCGAATTTCGCCTTCCACGCGTTGAAGGACTCGACCGTCACGGGCGTGCCTTCGTTCGACTTGGCCGTCGTATGAGCGTTCTCCTCGTCCTAGACACAAAACCTCGCGAGAAGACGCTAAGTCGCGAAGCGTACAAGAATGGCTTGGGCCGCCGCGGCCGCCGTGTCTTCCTTCTTTTGCTTGCTTTCCATGCGACGCAGCATCTCTTGGTACTCGGAGCCATCCTGCGGATGGTGTCAGACACCACCGTATCGACGAGAACGCGCTACGTACGTTGCCTTCGCGGTTGTTTTCGACCAAGTACTCTCGGACTGCTTCGGTGATGGTGTAGATCATGGCCATGCCCAAGTTTTCCTCAATCTAATTGAAGTGAGTGGTGCGACGCGTGATCGATCCTATGGCGGTATACCTGCGCCTCCAAGAGAGCCCGGATCTCCTTCTCTTGCCGATCGCTGAGGCCCTTTTCCAAAAGAATGTCAATCTACACAGCGCGTGAGACGTCCACTCGCTTTCCATGTGAGCGCAGACCTTGGGCGAGACTTCGGGATATGTCTCTGGGAGCGTGCACTGGAGGCTTAGCGCCACTAGCATGACTCGTATAAGTCACATGGAAAGCAAACGACGGCAGCTACCGTGGTTGTTTTCGCCGTCTTGGTTGGGCACGACGTGCACCTTGACGGTCAGAGGCGCGTCCTGGATCTCTACGACAGGCGTCGTCAATGGCCGCGGTCTCGCCCATGCAACGTACTGGCAAAGTCATCCATGTAGATGGACTCGAGGGCCTCGACCTCCATCATCTGCTCCTCGGCATAGTCTACGCAGCCATGAGCCTTGGCGGCGCGGCCGCGCGGACGGACCTGCCATCGTTCGCTCTTGCACCCAATGAAATTGTGGCTGCCTTTCAACATCCGGATACATCCGGATACACGACACCTGTTGCTTTCCGGTGTTTTATACACGTTGCATAAAACACAGCATCAAAACACGCTCGTGCTCATGAAGAACGTCGTCGTCGTCGGTGGCGGGATCGCCGGCCTCAGCGCTGTCCACACGCTGCGCAAGGTGCTGCCGTCGGCCGTCCAGATCCACCTCGTTGAAGCAGCCAACCGGCTCGGCGGGCTCGTGGGCACGACCCGCGATGACAAGTACCTCTTCGAGGTCGGGCCGCGTGGCTTCCGCCCGTCCAAGAACGGCGCCGAGATCGTTAGCCTCGTCGAGCAGCTCTCGCTTCAAGACGAGTGCATCGAATCTATGGGCCACAACCGCTTTGTCTTTACAAACGGCCGCGTCGAGGTATTACTTGAAGTTTGCACGCTACGAGCCCATCTCCTCACACGCCGCTGTAGCAAGTGCCTGGGACACCGCTCGAGTTCCTTCGGTGGTCGCTCGCGCCCGACATCATCAAGGCCGTGCTGAACGAAGTCACTACGCCCAAGTCGAATGTACGTCGTCGCCTCCTCCATGCATGTCCATAGCATCTCGACCAGGCCAGCGACGAGTCGATCTACGACTTTGTCTCGCGTCGCTTCTCGCCGCGGATTGCGGACGCGCTTCTGGACCCGATGGCCTCTGGCATTTTCGCAGGAAACATCAAGCACCTCTCGGTGCGCTCGTGCTTTGGGCTGCTCTACGAGAAGGAGCAGATGCACGGCTCGGTCGTGCGCTCGATGCTGTTCCACTCGACGCCGCCAGCACTTACCATGGCCGACGGTAGCCTCAAGACGCCGTTCGTCCAAGCCAAGGGCAAGGCCATGAGTCTCAGCTTCCGCAACGGCATGCAAACGCTCATCGACGCACTCTCGACGCGCATCGCCGTACGTGCGGGTTCCATATCCTCATCTGGATGCTACGGAATCGATGTGGTAGGACATGCCAAACACGCATGTGCAGCTCAATACGTCGCTCACGAGCATCGCCAACGCGTCGTCCGAGAAAGTCCGAGTCGCGCTTGCAACCAAGGACGGCACATCCTCCGAGATTCTCGCCGACCACGTCTTCTCGGCCATTCCGGCGCGCCACTTGAAGCCTGCGCTGGCTGCGTCCGCACCCACAGCAGCGCGCGCGATGGGCGAGATCCCTTTCGCGTCGGTTGCCATTGTCACCCTCGGGTACCGCTCCAACGTGCTGCCGCACCGCGGGTTTGGGCACCTCGTGCCGACGTGCGAGAAGCAAAACATCATTGGCGTCATCTACGACTCGTGCTCGTTTCCGCAGCAGCAAGACGACGAGCATCTGACTCGCCTCAGCGTCTTTGTCGGCGGCGAGAACCACAAGAGTCTCATGGCCAACTTGAGCTTGTCCGAGATGCAAGACGTCGCGCGCCAATCGGTCGAAGCACACTTGGGCATCACCGAGGCGCCCGAGTACATTGCGAGTACGTGGTACGAAGACGCGATTCCGCAGTACCCTGTCGGCTTCCACGCGCTCGTCGAGCGCATCGAGACGGACCTTGCCGCGAACGTGCCGCGCCTCACGCTCCTCGGCAACAGCTTTTACGGCGTCGGGCTCGCCGACGCGGTGCACCGGTCGACGGTCGCCACGACAGCGTTTGCAAAGACATTTGCATTCGAGTAATAGTATTACCTACATTGCGCTCACTCGATCGCGAGCTCCTCGAGCGCTCGCTGCTGCTGCTTGAGTTGCTCGAGCGTTCGCTGCTCGTTGGCGATTTCGGCCATGTTGACTTGGGCGGCTTGGAGCGCTTTGTGGACAGCGGTCGCGTACTTTTGCTCTTCTTGAAGCACCTGCTCCTGGACGCGCTGCCGCTGAACCTCCGGAAACAGAAACGACGCGACGAGGTCCCGGACGACGACCGTGTCCGAGTTGTGCGCGGCCTCGAGCGTGCCCACGATCGAGGCGAGGGCACTGGAGGCGACACTCGACTCGTGTGTCGCCGTGTGGGTGGCGTCTAGCCATGGCGTTAAACCTTTCATAGCGACCAAACTACCATCGGCCACCACGGACTCGAGAATGTCGAGAATAAAGTTGTCGGCAGTCTCTTCGTGCACGCGCGTGATGGCTTTATAGACCGCGTCTTCGCGACGGCGGAGCTGGTCTTCGGCGTGGCGCCGGCCGCCCTCGATGGCCTCGCGCTTCCGCCGCTCGTCCTCGGCCGCGCGCACAAAGTCGCTGAGCGTCGCTTGCTCGTTCACGCGCACGAGCTCCTTGGAGAGGAAATCGAGGAGCTCCGAGACGACTTCACCTTGCGTCTTGTCGGTCGCAGCCTTGGTGAGTCGCGCGAGCTGGCTCTTCTCGGTCTCGTTCGCCTCGAGCTCGTCCCCTTCGGGCGCGTCTTCATTGGACCGCAGCTCCGCGATGAGCTCGGATCGGCGGTCTTTGCCTTCGTACATGGTGTTTTGCACGGCGCGGCCGCGGAGAAGCTTTTGGAGGAGGCGCACTGCGTCGTGGAGCTGCTCGTCGTCGTCCAGCGTCGCGTAGATGGGTGTCGGCGGGCGCACGATCTTTTCTTGGCGAAACTTGTGCGCCGTCGCCGCGTCGGGCTCGTGGCCCTGCTTACTGAGATTGATCTTGGTCTGCATCGAGAGCAAGTGGGCCTCGATCGCGGCTTCGCGGCGGTCCTTGGCCGTCTTGATCGCTTTCGGCGGCGGCTTGGTCGTCTGCATGGTCAAGCGGTGGGCGACCGACGCCTCGAGCGCATCAATGTCGGCCATCGCGTGAACCGTCGCGAGGCCCACCTCGTGCACGGGCTTGCGCCCGCCCTTGCCACTGCGCGCCATCGGGGCGTAGACCGTCGACGAGAACGCAGCGTACTCGCCAATGATGTCGCGCTTCAAATCGCGCTTGGGCAGCACCTTTTGCGCGGCGGCGCGGCGCTTCGAGAGCTTCCGCAGCGCGGTCACGCGCTCCTGCTGCATGCCTTCGAGGGCCGCATCCTTCTCTTGCGTGAGTCGCTGCCGGAGCGCCTCGATGCGCTGCTCGGTGAGGAATTCGTGCTCGTGGTCGCGCTCGATGAGCGCCTTCTCGAGCAACTGGAGGCGCTGGTCGTGGACGCGGTCGATCTCGACCTCGCGGAACGCCCACTCGGCCTTCTCCTGCTGCTCCATCATCTTTTTCCGGAGCGAGAAGGACGCTTCGTCCGTCATGGGCGGCAGGGAAGCGTCGAACGCGCGCTTCTTGCGGTTGCGCTCAATGAGCTCGATCTCCGCCATGCCGGCAGGCAGCCCGTCGGCGAACGTTAGGTTGGCCAGCGTCGCGATCTCGGGCGACGTCCCGACTTTGATCGTGTAGTCGGGCGTGTACGGAGTCGTCTGTGCCTCCGAGTCGCGGTACATGGTCTGGACGCCGACAGACCGTGTTGGCTCCAAGTCGTCGTCCGCCGCGTGGTTCAGCTCTGCAGTCTTGGCCACAGGGGAGAGGAGACTAACCCTCGATGATGAGCTGCTGCCGCGATGATACAGGCGATCGACGTACATTTCTGGTGGCACGGTCTGGACGTACGGCAAGATGGGTCGCTTAAAGTACTTGGCGCGCTGGGCGCCGCTGACTGCGACCTGGCCATCGCTGGTTGTCGACGGCACGCCGCTGCGGCGGCTGTGGTGGTGCGGCCGGTACCCGCCTTTCCACTGCCCGCCCGTGTTGGACACCGTGTAGACCGGGTCTAGACACAGCTTTGTAGTCGCGTTTCCGGTGGCTACAGCCGGGCTTGTTACCGTACACGGCGTCGAGCGCCCGCGTCGGAATCGTCCGCGACATCGGCGCGACTCGTGGCAAACTCCCGAAACGCCACGGCCACGGCCGTAACCGGTTTACACATGCTCCAACCGGATACGCACCCTGGGAAGCTATCGAGCTGTTCGAGCCGAGGCATGCGATGGATGCCTTCTGCAAAGTGCCCACGACAACATGAAGTACAGTATGGCTTCGGTCTCTGTTCCTCCAACGTGAGAATCAACGAACGCGAGACATGCGTCTGTCGGTTCAACACGATGACGTGGCACGCTACACGATCGTGCGTACGAGATTTAGTGCCGGAGGTTCGATTCGACGACCTTAACCGACTAGAAGTCGTCCGTGGCCCAAAACACAGTGTTGCGCGGGTCGGCTGGAAATGGTGCGAGACCGAGTGCCGGATGAGGGCGGGCCATCCAGCCGTAGTCGCAAATCGCCTCTGCGCTGCTATCGGCCACCGTGAGGTGCAACGCTGCGATGACAGGCGCCGACACCAGCGCGGACTGCGACGTCGCATGCGCGAGGAGCGCGTTCGCAATGGCTTCTTGCTCGGCAGTTGCCAACAGCGGGTTGACGCATATCTCTTCAACCGCCTTCTCGCTCGGCTCGGACCACGCAAAGACGTAGCCAAGGAGCTCCGAGTCGCGCCAGGCGCCAACCGAGCGTATGGACTTTTGCGCATGTCGAGCTCGGATCCAGTGCAAGATGTACTCGCGGTCACGGACGACAGGGCCGCTGAAGCGCGACGAGAAGGCCGTGTAGATTCGCAGACAAGCGTCCCAGTCGCGTTCGAGGTCCAGCGGAACGAGACGCACCGAGGCCGGCACGCCGCTGATGGGGCGCACTAGCATCTTGGTGTGCGGCATGGAGATGTACCCATGCCGTGCGTAGATGTGGCCAAGGCGCTCGAAGTTTGTATGGAGACAGGACACGTGCGACGTCGCCATCGGGCCGGCAATCGCGGCCTCCATGAGCTGCGCTGCAAGGCCACGACGGCGATACGCCTCCTTTGTCGATACTTCGGCAATACCATTCATGTTGACTGCGGCGCCGTTCCAGTACTGGTGGCGAGGCACGACGCGGACGCTGGCAGCGATGACACCCGTTGCTTCGTCGATGGCAACCAGAATATTGTCCCAGCTCTCGAGCGCCCTCGCGTCGTTGTGCAGATGCGAGGCAAAGTACTCGCGCGTTGCGCCGCTTCGGAAGACCTCGGCGACATGGTCCAGCCACGCGTCCTCTTCGTCTGGCCGCAGCCCGCGCACGACGATCATGCAAATCTTGTGCTTTCGGCGTGTGTTGACGCATCCGGATACGTCAAAAAGAGAAAGGGCTTGGCTGGCCGCACACCACTGCGTCCTCTACCGTGATTGGCCGGTGGCATGCGGCCCACCTCGTGCCTTCAGAGTGCTTGATGTCGACGACGCAGGGAGGGCGATCCCATGCATGTCGCCAAGGCTGCAACGTCATCCCGCTGGTGAATGCTACTGCCGGCAGCATCGCAGATCGGGTAGTTGGGTGGGTTTAGCCTACGACCTCAACGCATACTTCGTATCCGGATATTTCCCATAAGACGCAATTTCAATGGCAATTAGCGCATTTTCACCAAACGCAAAAGACGATGGGACCGAAGAAGGGCAACATGAACTCGAAGGCTGCGGCCGCCAACGAGCGCAAGGTACGCAGCAAAGCCACGTCCTGGCATCCCCTGAAAGTCATGCGTAGGCCGCCAACGATGCGGAGAAGAACAAGAAGAAGTCTGCCCAGGCCGAGGCGGCGGCGGCGGCGGAATGGGCCCAAGGCGCTGATGCCCGCGGCTCGAAGCGCCAGCAGGAAGAGGAACTCAAGCGCCAGCAAGCGGATGCGAAGAAGGCGGAGCTCAAGCGTCTCCAGGAAGAAGAGGAAGCGGCCTTGTCGGGCGTGAAGGCCAAGGCCAAGACGAAGAACATGAAGGACATGGACAAGCCGTGGGAACTGGCTTTGGAGCCGACGGGTAAGAAGAGCAACAAGGGCAGCCGTGCCAAGCCTGCGTCGGCGCCGCGTGTCGTTGCCGACCCTGCCCCGGCCCGGCCCGCCGGTCGCCACGACATTGTCTTCAACGACGACATCGACTTGCACGAGAACAAGAACCGCCACGCCTCGGACGCTCTGGAAGGTCCTTTTCTTTACTTTGAAAGGCTCGGAGATCTCACAGTGCATGGTAGCAACCTCGGTGGAGGACGCACTCGCGTTGCTGAGCACGGACGACAAGGGCAACGAGCGCCATCCGGAGCGCCGTGCCAAGGCGGTACGAGAACGCCTCTGCGCTATCGAGTTCGACAAGACCTTTTGTAGGCGTACAAGGCGTTCGAAGAAGCCACGATGCCGCAGCTCAAGGAAGACTACCCGGGCTTGAAGCTCTCGCAGTACAAGCAGCGCCTCAGCGATATGGTACCGGTCCTCCTCGCCTACCGACGACTCACCTAGTCTGCTGTGTAGTGGCGCAAGTCGCCGCAGAACCCTCTCAACCAAGACTCCAAGGCCTACAACGCCAAGAACTAATTAGCTATGCATGGACCTTTGCATCATTGAGAAATAGAGTGCTTCTGCAAAGACCTTGCCACGCATTTGCATGACCGCGAGTATGGGTGAAGTCACAACAGTAGCGCTGCCGGTGATTTGGACGACGGCCAACTCCACGCAGCGGCCACGTCTGGCGCTTGAGTTTGAGTTTGATCCACGATTATCCGGCGGCCGGATATCAACAGGGGACGGTGCAGTTTGGCAAGCGACAATAATGACGTCACAGCGCGTGAGCCAGCGGCGCCTGCTGACCGCGTCCCGGCGCTTCCTCGCGTCGGCCTCCTGTGCATCAAGCGAGGCCGTCGCCACGGTACGCCACCTACTCCGCATGCCATGGTCCAGAAGCTGTATGTAGTACTGCCGCAACCTCGAGTTTGCTCTCAAGCACATGGAGCTGGATCCGAGCCTGAGCTGCACGCCCGAGTACGACGAGCTCGTCGGCGTCCTCGGCGATCTCCATTCCCAGTTTCGCCACGAGACCATATCTTTCCGCCACCCGACGTCTTGCGGCGACGGCGCGTGCAGGCAATCGAGCGCGCGGCCGAGCCGCCGACAAAGAGCCACGTGGACTCGATCTTGTCGCAGCTGGAAGAGCACGTCCAGAGCGGCTGGGACGCGCAGAACGCGAGCCTCATGGACGACACCAACGACCTTGTCGAGGACTTGGACGATCTCCTCGGCGCCTCGCCCGTGCCGGAACAGCCAACCACCTCGCTCAAGGACATGCGCGAGAAGCTCGGGTACATATCCATCATGTCTTTGGCATCTCTGACGCATGCTCTTACTCTAGCATTACGGGCTCGAGAGGCGTGCGCGCCAGCGCCTCGGCCGAGCACTCGAAGGAAGAGAAGGACGCGATGGAGGCCGAGATGTACCAGATGACACAGCACTTGAAGGCGTATGCGCACAGCTACGACGAATCGCTGCAAGACGACGCGGCGCTCATCAGCAGCGTCGCCGACCGCGCGCAGGCCAACTTGGCCAAGCTCGACTCGGAGAACGCGCGGCTCGAGGTGCATTTGAACAACGGACTCACGGTTTGGAAGATGCTGCTGCTCCTCGGGCTTGTGTTCGTCGTCTTCCTTGGCATGTATATCTTTATGAAGCTCTTTGCGCACCGACGCTACCCGCTCTTTTAACACTTGCAATACATTGATTCGGATATCGCTTAGGAAAAGTACACGCTGTTCTTGCGCGGGTCGTGCAGCGGCACTTGCTTCTTCGCCATCTGCCGGTACAGCTCCGGGTCGATCGCGGGCACGTTCGACGACGTCGAGTACGACCGCGCGTCGCACCCAAACTCAAAATGGCACTTGCGCAGTTCTAGGCACCAGGGTCGCGTACCCCTTTTTGTCATCAGCGTACCTTCTTTGACATCGGCCGCCATGACCGCGCTCTTGGCGTCCTTCGGATCGAAGTTCATGGTGCCCTTCGCGGTCGAGACGTACTCGATCGCGTCGTCGCCAAACTCGAACGGGCACTTTTTGGGCCCTACACCCCTTTTTGTCTAACGAATAGGCTCGAAAAAGGACTCCCCACCCGTCGAGCTTGCGCGTCTCTTGGCGCATCGCGATCGCGCGGTCCATTCCCGCGCGGCTCCACTGCGTCGCGTT